TTATAAAAAAGATTTCAGTACTTAAGAATATCATTTTCAACTACATCTGTAAATCATTGTTTGCTTTTATTTTATTTTTTTCATTAGTAAGAGCTGAATATCAAAGATATTCAATTATTACTTCTGGAATTATAACTAAAGTCAAGTAGTTAGAGAATCACATTAATACATGATTTCTGTTATCATCTTGTTTTCACTCATGATCCTAGTAAGTGGCATTAAGGTCTTTCTTATTCTTGTGCACCAAATTTTCATAACATAATCTGATAAAAGTTATGTTTTCAGGACTATATTATATTTCAACAGAGCAAGGATTACTGAAATCCATGGCAGTTTCTTGACTGGTCTGAATTTATGCCATGAAAGTCATTTTCCAAGTTTATCAACGTTTTATGCTAGTAGTCAGATTAATATTATACCAATAAACCTTGGAGTGAATGGTATAGCTCTAGCTGTCCCTAGAAGCTGCCTTGAAAGGAAAGCATTTGTTTCTTCTTACCTTTATATTCACAATCCAATGTGCATTACTTCAGTGAAACTGAACTCTGCTGTATCATCTTTCAGGTGTTTGCCTATTTCCTTTCAAAGAAGTGACTTTCCTTATGGAGCTTGTTTTGAGTCTGTTGGACATGAGATGATTGAGAAGCATGGGGTGAAGTGTGTTACAATCAAGAAGACACTTCCTCCTCTTTTGCCTGCAGCTGGTGACAGTGGAATGATAGAGAATGAGAAACAAAATGAAGGTTCTGAAGTATCAAAATTTAGTGGCCCAGATCTTGCTGAAACTCATGATGAGGTTAACATGTCAGGTTTTGATGATCAAGGAAAACACACTAGCAGGTTTAATATTTACTGTAGTTTGATTTTTATTTGTTTTTCCACACTTTTTTTTAATTTTTTGGTAGTTGCTAGATTCTCATCAAACTTACTTGCCATCAGTGCTGCAAGTGTAGAAGCAACTTTGTGTGCTGCAATAAGTGTCAGCTTAAAGCATATTGCCATTCTTGCATAAAGAAGTGGTACTTTAAATTTCTTATTACATTTTTTTGAATAGATAAAATTGTACATCTATTTCTCTTGCATGTTTTTCTTTTGTTAAATGGCTTAGTGATCTGTCATGATTTCTGGGGTAACAAATAAATCTTTGCAAATAAGTATTCAAGACACTTTCTGACTCATAGAGAAGAAGAAAAAATTGACTTTTCTGTGCAAGA